ACAGCAACAGCAGCAAATACAGCAGCAGCAACAAATGCAACAACAGCAAATACAGCAACAACAGCAAATACAGCAACAACAACAGCAAATACAGCAACAACAGCAAATACAGCAACAACAGCAAATACAGCAACAACAGCAAATACAGCAGCAACAGTTACAACAACAACAGCAGCAGTTGCAACAGATACAGGGTCTCCAGAATGCTCAAGGGCAGCAGGGGATGACTGGGCCACAGACTGCGGGTCAAGGCCAGCCCCAAATGCACCCTCATCAGCTGCAGCAACAACAGCAGCAGCAGCAGCAGCAAACTCAACAGCCACACCTGCAACAGCAGGTATTATAATCATCACGTACCTTGTTGACAGTGTTTGGTATCAACACACTGTATCTCTTCATACTTATATGTTGTACCCTATTTTGCATTTTAGCAACAACAGCAGATGATAATGATGCTGAAAATGCAGGAGCAGGCAAAGAATCGAATGTCCATCCCTCCAGGGGGCCAGCTACCTCCTCGGGGAATGGGCAATCCACCTGAGGTGCAGAGGCTTCCTGTATCACAGCAAGGCAATATGCCTGTAATGATCAGCCTTCAAGGACATGGGGGAGTACCGCCATCACCTGACAAAGCCAGAGGGATGCCCCTGATGGTGAACCCACAGGTAAGGGCTAATTGCTGTGGCATATTAAACTTGACTTGAACATTCACATGATTTAATTTACTTGTGACTGCAGTTTATTTTCCTGGGAGTAAACCGTATACTGTTTGTATTTTTTATCCTTTCTAGCTTGCAGGCGCTGCACGAAGAATGTCCCACCCTGAAGTGGGGCAAGGTCCCCAAGCCACTGGATCTGAAGACTCCTCTGGAGGGGCCCACTCGAAGCAGGAGAGGCCTGGTGGCCCAGAAATTGGGGTACAGCCTGGAAATGGCAACCAACAGATGATGGCCAATCAGGGTTCCAACACTCACATGATGAAGCAAGGGCCTGGTCCATCATCAATGCCCCAGCACACTGGAGCCAGTCCCCAGCAACAGTTACCCACTCAGCCTCAACAAGGAGGCCCCATACCTGGCCTTCATTTCCCCAATGTCCCCACAACCTCACAGAGTTCCAGGCCCAAAACCCCCAACAGAGCCAGCCCCAGGCCGTACCACCACCCCCTCACCCCAACTAATCGTCCACCTAGTACTGAACCCTCCGAAATCAACCTTTCACCTGAGAGGCTAAATGCCTCTATTGCAGGGCTGTTTCCACCCAAAATCAACATTCCTCTGCCTCCCAGGCAGCCTAACCTAAACAGGGGGTTTGACCAGCAAGGTCTTAACCCAACAACTCTGAAAGCCATTGGGCAGGCCCCTCCTAGCCTAACTCTACCAGGCAACAACAACAATGGCAGTGTGGGTGGAAATAACACTAACAACAATCAACAGCCCTTTTCCACTGGTACTGGAGCAGGAGGTGCAGGCACTAAACAGGACAAGCAGTCTGGAGGGCAGAGTAAGCGGGCAAGTCCAAGCAATAGTCGGAGGTCAAGTCCAGCCTCTAGCCGCAAGTCAGCCACCCCAAGTCCAGGGAGACAAAAGGGGTCAAAGATGGCAATCGCCTGCCCTCCCCCCCAGCAGCAGTTGGTCAACCCTCAGGGGCAAACCATGATGCTAAACCCTACCTCAGTACCCCCAAGTCCAGTATCTATGCCTTCACAAGTGAGTGGTGGCATGGAGGCACAGCAGACCCAGAGCTCCTTCCATGGAACACAAGGAAACCCTGTTGAGGGAGTCCGGGAAAGTCAGGGCATGATGACAGCAGAGCAGAGACAGATGCCTCAGCCTCAACCGCTGCAACAGCCTTTGAGGGAGTTATCAGCTCCTAGAATGGCAAGTCCTCGTTTCCCAGCACCTCAGCAGCCTAAACCTGACTTAGAAATGCAGGCTGGCACAGGTGATAGGCAGCCAGCCCACGCAGCACCTATGCAGGACTCGGAGGTCTCACCTACTCTCAGGACAGCTCCAACCTCCCTCAACCAGTTACTGGATAACACGGGTATCCCAAACATGCCTCTTAGGCCCATACAGAGTAATACTGTTAGGGATGTCATGGGAAAGGACAGCCCCAAGTCTGCTTTGGATCCGGAGAGACCACTCCACAGTAATTCCCAGAATACAGATATGTCAGCTTCTGCTGCGACTACTGCCACTATAAATGAATCAGAAGCTAAACCCAAACCTGCTGTTTCAATCCCTACCAGCAGTCCTAATTTGCAGCCTGCTTCAGTTCCCAGCTTGCACCCTAGCACTAATGTAAACTCCAATACTACCCCCAGCCTTAACCAAAGCCCCATCTCCAGTCTTGGCGCCAATCCCAGTCCAAATGTAAACCCAACACCTACTCTCTGCCCCACCCTCAGTACTAACACTAATGCCACAATGAGTGTAAGCCCCAACTCAGTCACTTCTGGTCAGAGCAGTCCTGCCTCAACTGTTAGTACCAGTTCTAACTCCAGCTCTGCTCTAAATCCAGCCAGTTTGGCTCTAAAACCAAGCCCTAGTCCTAAACCTGTGACAAGCGTTCACTCAGTCATACAGATCCCTGCCTCTTCTAGCACCATTTCCCCCAACCAGATTACAGTGTTTGTGACCTCCAACCCCATCACCTCTGCCCCTACTCCCCAGGCACCCACATCTATGGTTTCCACCATGGTAGCTGTCCCTAACAAGAACATTAGACCTCAGGACATCCGGCAGCAGGCCCCCGTCACCCGACCTCCTCAGTTTATCACCACCACCCCTGTATTTATCAACCCAATTTTCCAGGTCCCAGGTGCATCTGTGGCTCCCAATCCCACAGTGGTATCACAGGCAGTCACCATGATGGGGCCAATTCAAGTATCCACTACAAACATTCAACTTTCTCCTGCCCCAAGCTCCACCCAGTCCTCAGGGGCCACCATGACTAGCACTCAGCCCGCCAGAAGTGCTGCTGGACAGGTCCAGGTTGCCACTAGTATGCCCTCATCGGCACCAATTGGTACCCTCCCAGCTCCTCAGCAAATTAATCCGGGGGTTCTCAAAACAGAAAATGTAGGTGATGCAGGTCCTGCTCAGAAAACTAGTCCCCCGGTTCAGCAGCCATCTCCCCATCCAAGCCCTGCAGCATCGTCTCCCTTTCAGCCTCCTCTGGCTTCTCCTCCTCCTTGCTCTAGTCCTGGAGCTGTTAACACAATCCGAAAGAGCCCTATGTCTCCACCTCCAGCTGCCCAGGTGAAAAGTAAACCTGCACAGGCCGCTCCAGTTGTTGCTGGTACAGCTGACTCTCAGCAGAGTCCTGTAGAAAGGCCTGCACAGGGGCCCACTGGGGCTGTGCCACCACAGGTTTTTCATCCTCCCGCTAGTCCTGCCATTCAGAGTGAAGCATTAGCTCCCCATACTACTGCTGCTGCTCAAAACAACATTACTCTGCCTGCAGTCTCCTCTCCAGTCCCAGTGCCTGGCCAAGTTGCTGTTCCTACTCAGATTGTTACCCAGGCTCCAGTGTCTGCACCAGCTTCAGTCTCAAGCCCAGCCCAGCCTGTAACTTCTCAAGCTCCTATTGTCACGGTAGTTGGTACTACCACAGGTGTCACTTCTGCTACCTTGCTCTCTACGGTTGCTCCTGTACAAAGTCCTGTATCGTCCATTGTTCCAATTGTTGCTGGATCTGGGCCTGTTCAGGAGGTTCCCTCCACCACGTCCTCTCCAGTTGCTAACCCCAGCGGAGTTCCGCCTGCTCAGTCTGACCCCCCGCCTATGGAGCCCTCTGTGCCACCAGCGGCAGCACCTGCTGAAACCACTCAGACCACCCCAGGTAAACACACCGTTGTGAGCCAAAAGAATCAGTGGTTGTGTATGCATGTCTCAGGTAAAGAGGGTTAATGACCATATTCTGGCTATGATACTTGGTCAGGTTAAACTAATGACTACCTTTTATATAGGGTGTGTCACTGTTGTGGTAAGAGTTTTCGTTTACATGCCATATTAACATGTGTAAGCATTAAGCTTACCTGGATTTGCACATTTAAAAAGAATATGTGGTATTCCTGTTTTTTTTCTTGTTTACAAAGGAAAACAATTGCTCTACACAAAAACTGTTGCCAACTGGAGGTGATATTCAAGGGGAGACAGTTGCACAATCCTTCTGCTCAACACTATATATGTATTCCTGACTAATAATTTGTTTCATATATTTAAATGTGTCATTTGAGCTATTTTATACTTTTTCCCCAGTACCTATTCAACAAGAAGTCCCACAGTCCCAGGAACCTGTTGCCAGTGAGAAGACCGGTACGTGTGTGTTGTTAAAATGCCTGTACTTGAAGAGAAAATAACAGTTTCATATAATCTCATGAGTCACTTGAAATACGTGACAGAAAAATAACATTCGCTTTTTGTCCTTTTCAGGTGAAGAGGTCTCGACAGGTTCTGAGCAGGGGTAAGACTCCTCAAAACATTTATGTTCTTTTAACTGCTGTATTATTGATTGATTGTGTAATGCTTCATGTGGTGGGGTCTATTAAGGTGTCACCTACTATTGATCTCTCGAAAGTTGGCCTAGTCTTAAGACTCGTGCTCTTGAAGGAGAAATGCTTAGACATTTCTAACTCTACTGAAACTCAGGGAGTACATTTGCTTGGCCAAGGGGGTACATGGCGAAAACAATGAGCCACGTGGCCTCAGCACTTGGTATGTATGATTAGCATGCAATAATAAGTATAATAATAATAAATAATACTAATGCATGTCAGAATTTTAAACAAACAGCCTGTCACAGAGCAAATTGTACCACTCCGCTGACCTTTATGGCCATATCTCTTTTCCTGGGGATTGTCATAATATGGTGGGGAAGTGAAGCCATGTTTGTTCAGCACAGTTTATAGTTTACCGCTGTTTTTCCACTTCTATCACAGATGGGCAAAGAAAAGAAAGACGCCCATCAACTTAGTCCCAAGGTATGTATTTTAACATGTTTGCGCTGCAAAGACACAAGCAGTGATCATGTCGACGTAGTGGATGCTGTCGGGATGAAGACGGACAGTATCTGTGGTAGACGAGGAAAAACAGCAGTCCTGAGTGGTATTATATCTTTCTCTGAGTAGAGCAGAGTTAACTCACACCCTTGCATCTTTAGTAACACATCCCTGTGTTGTCCTTCCTTTCTTGTTGTTTGTTGTTTTTCTATCTGGTCCTCCCAGAGCTGCTGTGGAGAAGCCCAAGGGACCGAGCAGACGCAGCTCCCGGGCAGAGAAGGAGGTGGAGGAGGAGCCAGTAGCGGACAGTGGCATTAGGAAGAGATCAGCCAGGCCTGGAACCAGTGCTGCTGTAAAAGGTGACTGTAAACACATAAGCAGCTGTAAAAGACAGGATGTCTATCGGTATAATAACTAAGCTATACACGTTACATTACAACCTTTTCACTAATACAGTATACTCTGTTTTTGGTTTTACAGAAACTGGAGCAAGCCCCACCCAGGCCAAACGAAGGAAGTCTAAATAGCCTGTGAACTGTACTGTAAATGTTTTTGTTTCCCCGCTGTGAATCAGTTGATCTATCGGTTTCTCTGTCCCAGATTATGAATTTTCACTGGAGGAAGAAACCAATGTACAGATTGTTTAAAAAGAATTATGCTATTGTTTTGTCCATGCTATTATGTGAGATTGTAGTTAGAATGTGTGCATACAAGTATGTGTTTGTGTGAATGTGCTTTTTATATTAAATGCTGGATTAATCATGTGAAGACTGATAATGGAGCTTGTCATGATTGTATAATTATGTTGTAAAACTGAATTAAATTTTCTACTGCTTTTTGGTCTGTGAAATTGTGTAAAATGATTTATGTGTCATCCTGATTTCAAGTTCAGTCTCAGCCTGCTAATCCTTAGCAGTACTGCATTAACGTACTGTATTATTGATGAGCACAAGTAGGAGGAGGAGTGTGATGTAAACAGTCACAAGTCCATTTAGGTGAATCATTTTAAATCTCTACAAATTTGGACCATAAACATGTATTCTGAATGACTGTAATAAAACAAGGAGGCATCTTAAAAGAGACCCCCATCCACACTGCCGTACCTCGTTGGACATGTTGATGCTGGTTCAGGTGTGGACCTCGTAGTGTGGTACTCTCTTGTGTTGGAGGTTGGTTGTGAGCATGCGCAGTGGGTAAACGCTGGGACTCCATTCCAGTGAGGTTCCCTGAGCCTCGCATCCTGAACAGCTGTCTACAGTGACAACTTCACCTGCTTTACAAACAAAAACAACTTGACCATGAGCGGAGATCATGGACATGGAAACTCTCAGGTACCTCTTGGTCAATAATTAATGTCTTTGCTCAGTTTTGTAGGAATTGCTTTGGCAATAAACGACATAAAACTGACGAGTATTAATCGTCAATATGAAATAACGGTGGAGAAACGATCGCAAGCTATAAACATAATAAGTTCCGCTGTTTGTCTTCGTCGTTTTAGTCCAAACTTTGAGATTATGTGTGCGTGTTTGCTTTTTATTGTAGTAAAATGCACGTATTACTGAGGTATATTGGTGTGCCAGATGAAACTTGGAATAACCCGAGCTACCGGCATTTTCAAAATTGAAATATTAAAAACATTTTTTTCCACAATTTCCAGGTCAATTCCGGATCTAAAGGAAGCGGTAGGTCCTCTGATGGGGATTTTTTTATTCATACTGACTGATTTCCAAACGGAATCGTGATCTGTCTACTGTTAGTTTTTTAAAGGACAGAAATGGCGTCCCAGAGACTAAGTCCCTTCTCCTCCACTCTCTTGCGGCTATTGTTCAAAAAGAGGGTCTGAAATGCACACTTGCGACCCTCGGTTTTTCAATCTGCTGGGGTATTCCGACAGGGCCTGGCATCGTGTTCATTTTGCATGCTCCAGTTTGACAATATGTGCGTGCAATTGCAACGAAATTTGGAGCCGAAAGTGGCAGAATTGGGGCTGAGGACTTAGTCTCTGCGCCATTTTCTTTTTCTGTATGTAACAGCCAGGGCTGCCGATGAGAGAGCCAACTGTCTGCCGTGATATGGAGGCGAGAGCTGGGAGCTTATCGCCTCTCCCTGCCCGTATCTCACCGCCAGCTGCGCTCTGCCTCCATCTCTGTGCTAGTACAGACATTTATCTGCACTGCCAACAGGGAATACTCACACACACGAGTTTAAAACTTTGAGTCACAGAAAAAGAAAGTTGCACTACATTATTAAAAGCATATGCCTTGAGCAGTCATTTTTTGCACACATTATAGTCCCCCCCCCCACTACAGTTTCTTGCAAAAGTTGAGAGCACTTTTTTTTTTTCTTTTTTTCTTGCAGGGTTAATTTGCTGCATGATGTGATGGAAAGCATTGAGGCATGAGAGGGACTGATTTGGTTTATAACTGGGATGTGTGTTACTGTTTCATACAGCAGATAATACCCGTTATTAAACTGCCTGCCATGACAACAGGGCGCCACGAGGTGATGATCAAGCCAAGCCAGGTCTACCTCAGGAGGGATTTCACCCAGCAGGAAACATTTTAATATGAAGACTCATGTAAAAATTATTATTACAGCTTAATCATTTGACTAAGCTGCACCGAGAGTATGAAAACAAATGTTCCTCTCAAGTGCAATCTCCTGATATTATTTTCTATCTTTGAAAAGTACACCAAAAGTTAGATTAAAGCCCGCTGACAAAAGCTATTGTGTTTAATATTAGAGGCAATTATTGTTGTGAGGGTATAGTTGGAATATTACAGTGATCTTGTGGCAAATACAGCGTATAGCAGGGTTATCAGCTATCACAATCAAGTCCCTTTTTTTTGTGGGGGAAGCACCGTCACAGGTATGTCCTGTAGGATGAAGCTGGTGGTTGAACCTCGGAGGGGATTGTGGGTCAGCTACAGCAAATGTGTGTGGGGCACTGAGGGCTTATTGATATGTGACTTTCAACAGCAGGATGGAGTATAGAACAAAATGTATGTCAGCTTGTGTTAATACAGTGGTTACAACCAGATATTTTTAAAACAAAAGATTCTCAGATAGACATGTTGAGATGTTTTTTTGTGTTTTCTTTTAATGCCGCTGAACAAGTTGATCTCTCTGTTGCATCACAGACTCCCACAAACATAAAGACAAGCACAAAGACAAGGAACACAGACACAAAGACCACAAGAAAGACAAGGAGCGAGAGAAATTCAAGCACAGCAACAGGTACGATATCTGTAGCTCCTTCTAATTTATTGGGTAAAATAACCAGGCAGAACTTGAGTTTATGTTTTATATATGAACTGACCTATGCAGGTTTCTGTAGCCCTATACCGGTATTTGTGTATTAAAGTTGCCTACACCGCCTGAAGCTATTTTTCAGTATTTCCTTTATCTCCTAACACGTACTTCTCCTCACGATGCTTTATTTTACACGTGTCGCTTTCATTTAAAAAAAAAATTATGTTTTGAACTGGTGGTTTTAGCTGTCATAACTGAATCTTTAATGAGGAGGATAATGACAAATCCCATGCACTTGGATACAGATTCTGCCAGTCTGCAAGCTTTTCAACAAAGACTTGAAAGAATCATCCTGCTGATTTAATTGAAACTAATAGAAGCCTGCCATGTTAGATCAGAAAGCATACATCACAAGGACTCCATGGAATCCACTTTTATGAATGACATCTGCAGAGCATTAGTAATCTGAACCATTGTGGCGCAGTCGTCATGTTTTCTTTTTGTCGGGTTGAAATACTTGTGGGCTGCTGGATGTTAGTAGAGTCACGACTTTGGCTGTTTTTATTGGCCGCTGTCCACAACACTGTCACTGTTTGTTAAAAAATGGTTACATTTATATTGCTGGTGGTTTGGCACTTTTGTCGATGGCATCTTTTGGGTCTGTGCATCTGGACCATGACTGACCTCGCGCACTTGATCTCTGACCTCTGTGGCTTCTGTGTTCCAGCGATCATAAGGACCACTCTGAGAAGAAACACAGAGACAAAGAGAAGCTGAAGCACAGCGACGGCAGCTCAGACAGACACAGGGAAAAACACAAAGAGAAAGACAAGGACAAAGAGAAGAGGAGAGAAGAGAAGGTTTGTTAATGGGTAGTCAGTCTGCCTTTAATGAAAGGCTGTAGAGGCCTTTAGTGTAAGTATTATGTTGTGTTTTCTGTATTACAGTATTATTAGTTTGTGACATTAACTTAAAAGCTTTGTTTTGTCATGATCACTAAATAATTGTTTTATTATGAACTCTGACTCTAAGTTAGTATTTAAAGGTGTGAAAGTGGATGAAGTACATTTTATTTATAAAAAGACATGCTAATATATTTTCCCCTGTTTCTCACAGATCAAATCATCCCATGTAGACAAGCCTAAAAAGGAGAAAGAAAATGGATATGTAAGGTAAACAGCATCACTTTGTCGTGTCTCACGTAAAACAAAAGTAATTATAAAGCAGTCCTAACCGTAAGTCATTTCGCAGATAATTCACTTCAAGCTTAGCCATTGCTTTCTTATGTGATATTTTGCTTTACTAATATGCAGTCCAATGTCTTCAATGTATGACTTAGAGATATAAGTCCTGCTGCCATAAAGAGCGAGCCTGAAGAAGACAACGGCTTCTACCCCTCTCCCCAACACAACAGGACCTCCAAACGAGAGTATGATGATGATGAACAGTGGGTATCATACAAATTCAACCAGATCTTTACATCTTCATGCTTCCCGTTCTGTCACTGTCAGTTCTGTGATCTGAGATACAGTCATTGTCAATATATCTGTCTACAGATTTGAATACAAGCCCAAAAAAGTCAAGACAGAACATGACAAAAAGGCCAAGAAGAGGAAACATGAGTACGAAGAGGATGAGGAGGATGAGGTTCATTACTTCTTAATACTATTTTGATGAACACATTCTCATCCCCCAGGCTGGAGTGTCTCTAGTTTGTGGCTCCAGTGTTGTTGTTTTTATTTTGTTTTCATCACTCGTTTCAGGACATCAAGCCCAAAAAGAAGACAAAAGACAAAAAGGGAACAGAGGGAAAGAGATCCAAAAAAGAAGAAGAGGAGAAGTGGAAATGGTGAGATAATTTTTGGGTTCTTTTCATCAGGAAATTACACATACAAGGACAGTTAGCTGATATAAACAGCTAGATAACATATTTGTCTTTTGTATCACGGGTTGTACTTTGTTGTTGTTTGTGGTGATTAGGTGGGAGGAGGAAAGATACACTGATGGCTCCAAATGGCGCTTCCTTGAGCATAAGGGTCCAGTGTTTGCCCCTCCGTACGAACCCTTGCCTGACAAAGTCAAATTTTACTATGATGGTGAGTCTGTCTGTAAAAAATAAGTTGCAAAGTTTATTATTAATAATAATTATAATAATAAGAAGAAGAATTTAATAATACATTGCTTTTTTTCTGTATTTGTAGGTAAGCCTATGAAACTAAGTGCCCCTGCTGAGGAGGTAGCTACATTTTTTGCCAAGATGTTGGATCATGAGTACACCACTAAGGACATCTTCAGGAAGAACTTTTATAAGGACTGGAGGAAGGTGAGGAGATAAAAGATATTCAAGTGTCTCAAGTTGTCGAGCGAGTCTACAGAGGGTGTGACGTTCGAGTATTTAGGTTGGACATTGGCTTCAGATCGTCTCTGTTATTTTAGGAAATGACATCAGAGGAGAAGTCAAAGATCACCGACCTGAACAAGTGCAACTTCAGTGACATGAATGAGTACTTCAAGGCACAATCAGAAGCTAGGAAACAGATGTCAAAAGAGGAGAAACTGGTAGGCCTGCATTCATGCACACTCTCCCAACCCTGAAGA